CAGGCATTCTGCTGCCAAGCACGGAAGCTGTCGTGCCTGTCACAAACTGCAGTTACCGTTTTGGCAGACCATCTTTCCCTGGTTTCCCTGACGGGTGCATACTGAAAGAAACTTGAGACAGTGCTGGTACGTTTTCGTAGGAGAGTGTTCCACATGGTACGAGAACGATATTTCCAGTTGATTGACTAAGTGGACTTCGAAGTTAATTTCTGTGTCAGAAACAGTAGTGTCTTCAGTGTGGAAAGATCAAACAAAGATTTAATGGTTCTTCTAGGTGAGGATGAGGAGGGAAGGAAATGAAAGCAGCAGCTATGAACATAGCCAGTATTTGTGGGTAATAGTCCTGTAAGCAGGTATTTGTAGGTATGGCTTCAGTTATGTGTCTAGCTGCTGGGTTTAATGCTATAAATGCAGTTGATACTAGACTTAATTGATGTCACTTTTACCTGCAAAACAATAATAATAAATACAAGGCTGAACTGTAATAAGGGAACTCCATTCAGTCATATAAACAAAAAAAGTTTAATCCCACTTGAGGTTTGATATGCTTCCTTCCTACAGATGCTGATCCAGTAAGATACAACTTTCCCCTGTGTCTTACGTCTGTGTGAATGCCTCGCAACATCTCAAATGGCATTAGACACCTGTATTTAGGCAAGCAGACAGCCTAAAATCTCCCACCACCTAATTACTCCCATCCCGTCTCCCATCATTCCCATGCCTGCCACCATTCTTCTGCATGCTAGGACTGTCTCATTTTTGCATCTTACTCTGGGAAATTGTTCCTCAATTTCTTTTCTCGTAACTGTGAGACAGGGCTGGAGGAAGAGGTTTGCTTTGCCGATTCCTTCAACTTCTTATTTGCTTTGACTTGTTATTGTATGTGAAATACATGGCATGCTGTGTGGTGGGCTGTTGTTCTTGCATTGACTAAGTTAAAAGCTTACCTTTTAGTTTAATGACACTTCATTGGTGGGAAAGTTTTATTGATTGTAGGCCGTTATTCTTTATCTTAAAGTCCATTAATTTTGGGAAACATTTCATTTGTTTAATGAATGCAAAACACAGTAAATGAAGTTCGCAGTCATTGCCAAAGACTTGAAGAATGCTGATGTAGACTCTGCATAACAATAAAAATAAATTGGAAGAGAAGAGTATCTTGCACATAAAGCATTCTCCCATATTAGTGCAGTGTTAAATATTTGTTGTTGAACTAGACATTATCAGGGGCTTGTGTGTCGGAACGGTGAAAGTTGAACAAAGCAGTTAAACTCCTAAGATGCTGGCACGATTGAATTGAACACTGCTGTCATAAAAAGTCTAAATCCTGTACCATGAAGGATGGCAATGTAAAAACAAAAAGTACCATATCTCATTGTACTCTTAACTGACTCTGAACATTTCACATGTAAACTTCCATACGTAAAAAAATATTTCATTTGCACTATAGTGATGAAAAAAGTAACAGATTCTTTTTGAATAGTTAAAACGGAATGCAGTAGAGTGTTTTCTGAGGGGCAGAATGCTGGCTAACAGTCAGGCTTCGGTTTCTGAAAAAAGGCGGCGTCTCTCTTCAGTTCGTGGTGTGCTGGCAGAAATGGGTTGGTGTATGTTCAGTATCAACTGACTCTACCATCATTTTCACCTCTTACGAACAATACAGAAAGGGGAACAATATCAAAATACTCTGTTAGCTGTATCCCTGCAGTATCTATAACCTTGATTGCTTTTTTTGTAAAACCTAATCTGCTTAGGAGATGGCAATAATGATCCAGCTTCCTAATGTTCTTGATACTTAGCCAACAATTTTGGGGTAGAGGTGAGATGACACTAATGGAAAATGCCTTAGAACTTCATTTGTACAGTTACACCAGTTGAATTCTCACAGATTAAAAAAATTCTGGCTTTTTTTTTTTTGCTGTGTGAAATGTTATTCATTGTGTGAAACCTTGTTTTCCTTTTCTATTACCCTCTCTTACCCCTTCTCCAGCTGGGAATTCCAGGTGGGAATTCCAAGTCCACACTTGTACCTCCAGTCAGCAGCTTACAGTATGCCTTTTCTGAAAATCCTGTAACAAACTCTAGATATGAATACATAGGAGATGATGAAAGGTTAATGTTCGCTAAGTAGAGTGAAAGGTATAAAGATTTAGATTTACAAGGAAAAAAATGTATTTTGAATACATTTGAATTTGAGTGAATTTCCCTGCTCCATTTCCTTATCCCTGTGAGATATATATTAAGATTTTGATGGTCCTTACTGTGTTTCAAGATATCCCTGCTGTTAATTACTTCTTGAAAATTAATTCTGGATAGGCACGATAGTTACATGGGTTCTTAACCTGAGCAGGTGCAAGTAGCATTAGACTTGAAGAGCTTTGCTGCCATTGTGTTTACTGAGAGCTAGGATCAGGTCCTTCTAGAAAGACAAGGTCGTTCTGTGTAGTATGTGGCTTGCTTATGGGTCGTTGACTCTTCAGCTGTTTGTCTTTTTTGATACTGAAGTGTTTTGCCCAACAGTTTTGCTGGGCTTAATTTGGTTATTTAACTTTGTGATTTCCTTTGGTAGGTAACTCTGGGGTTTTTGCTTATTTCAGAGATTTTCCTATTGCACCCAAAAGCTGTATTTCACATCATTCAGTAAACTTCTAAACGTTAAAGGAAGAACGGGCTACTCATCATTTATGAAACTTGATCAAATGTGTTGGGCAGTCTGAGGGAGTTGGGAGATATTTACACTGTTTAGTGCACTGTGTGATACTTAAACAACTTATAATTCCTGCAAGAAGCAATCACTTAAGAATGGATCTTGTGTGCATATATATATATGCATAAAATTATAAACATGCCTTTACGTGTGGATGTGTGCTATCCAGTGTTTTTGACTGGGAAAGATTGTAGAAGATAAAATGTGGTTATTTAAAAACACCTTTTGAAATTAGTATAGAGTTTGGGCTTTTGCTGTTTCTGTTGTAGCTTTGCTTTTTAAAAAACAAGTTTATTGACTTTATTGAGACTATTTAGATAGCGGGTGGATGTGTATGTCTTTGAACAGCCACGCTGTGATATTGTTAGGTGTCTTCTCAATGTGATTGAACCCTTCTCCAGAATGGTGTAAAGGGGGAATGAAACACAGGAACAAAAGTTGTAATTAAAGATATGCCTTCAGGTTTAAAACCTTTAAAAAAATCTCTTAATCTAAATCTAAAAAATCCCCAAAAAGCCCTGATTTAAACTTTTGTCTGCAATGTTTTAACAACTCTGACTTACAATGACACCTAAGATTAATGCTATGCTAATGTTTAATTATTATTATTCTTTTTTCTTACTATGCCATGGAGAGCCAGAATTTTGGCTTCTGTGAATCGTGGTGCTCCATGGATATCTTTAAAGGAGATAGTATGTACTAGAGGTGGACAGCACATACAGAAGTGATCTTTTGTTTCTATTTTGACTGTAACTCTCAGTCTTTTTGGACGGACCTTGCACAACTGTGAATGTATGTGTATGAATGTATGTGCATGAGGGTGGTGAGACACTGGAAGGGGTTGCCCAGAGAGGTGGGAGATGCCCCATCCTTGGAAACATTGAAGGCCAGGCTGGATGAGGCTCTGAGCAACCTGATGTTGTTGAAGATGTCCCTGCCCATTGCAGGGGGTTGGACTGGATGGCCTTGAAAGGTCCCTTCCGTCCCAAAGCATGCTATGGTTCTGTGTAAGAATGGCAGGAGCAAAAAAGCTTAACAAAAAAGAGAGTGATATAGGCGCCTTTCAAAAATACTTATGAAATGGAAGCTATTTCTTGAAGGTATTTTAAAATAGTTGTCTATGAGAATCTGCAGCCCTTATTTATACTGGGTAATATGCAATTGCATTCTTCATAGCACTGAAGTGAAACTGTGAAGCAATAATTATGCTAATTTAAAAATGGAAAAGTACCAAGATTTGTCTCTTTCTAACTCTTAAAAGATTTTCCTGCTAACCTCAGGAACTTTAATATTCAGAATCTGGTGTATTTTAGTATTAAAGGAGAACTAATCTTTACACTGTCCTTGTAGCAAGCTAGTGATTTAGTAGGTAGGTCTGAGGAAGTTATGTTATACTATATAAACTGTTAGCTAAATGTAAATACTCTCTAGTACTTCAACTTCTTAACGCTCTTGAACAGAAACCTAAGTAGCTTGTTTCCTATAATAGATGTTGAAAGCCTTTGTGCCTACTGTTTATTAAGTGTTTAATTACCTAATGTATTTGAAAGCTACACTAGTATGTGGCACTCACTCTTGGGCTTGTTTTCCAGTTTTCATCTTATATTTATTGCAATTCTGTTGCTAAGATTTCACCATTAAATACTTATGTGAAAGAAATACAAACATGTCCCTGACTAGAATTGTTTTAACCAATTTACCCAGAAAATATGTGTTTATGTATCTTTAGCCTTTTTTTCTCTTAACCCCTACTCCGCAATTGCAGTAAATTCTTTCCATTGCCAGCATTTCATAGACCATAGATATCTTGAATATGATTATCCGATTTAGTGTTTTGCTGTTAGAGAGCATTCTATTAACTGACTAAAACATTGCTTCCTTAGTAGCCATTGAAGATCTCAGAACGTGCTTCCAAAAGGTACCAGGCTGACCTCTGATCCACCCAGTACGGGACATTTCATATGCCTACCAAAGGCTTCTTCTCTTGCCCCTCCTACCATTTCAATTAGATCTGACTTTCATTGTCCTTTGAAAGCCATGTTGCGCTACACTTCATCCTCTGCTGTGTCCGATCCCAAAGACTGCAGTGTATATCCATAGAGGGTGAACGGGTTGTAGCCTCACTCACCACTAAGCATGATCAGGTGATACCTGTTTGCACCAGTGTAAGTTCCAGCCTGTTTTTAAAATGCTTCAACCCAAAGAATGCTGTATAAATGAGATATTGATACGAGTTGTTAAGAGTCTGGTTGCACCTAAGTAAGTAGAATTTTGATCTGTGTTTGTTTTTCAGAGCCAGAGTTTCAACTGCATGGAAAAGACTAAATGTCCGGGATCTAACGTGAGTTCTGTGCAGACACAGGGAGATTCAGATTATTTCATCAACCATCTTGGAGTACCTGCCACGCAGTTTTCTTATGAGGACATCAAAACATCAGAGGTAGTTATGAATAAAAATGGACAAACTGAAAACAGCAGCAAGATAGAATTAGATTTTCTCAGATTATATCCTTACATGACAAGTGTGTTGTAGTGGAAAGTTATCTCCTGTAAGTGCATTTTTTCAGGGGATTACCACAGAGCTTAAAAGTGACTGATTTTATAGGGGTATGGCATGCAAACAGACAGAGAAATGTTTGTAACAAATGAAAAGCAAAATTGGAGGACATTATGTTAAAAATGTTAACATTGCTGATAGTATTATAGATTACATGTTACCTAACACATTCTCTGTTTTCAGACTGCTTTCAACATAGAGGACATGGGTTTTGATGTGTGTATTTTTCCTGCACAGTAGGATGAGACAGCCTTCAAAATGAATTTTATATCCATTTTCCTACTGTGGGCAAAATATGACTCTAGTATCTATGTTGGTTGTAGAGATCTGTATGCTTGATTGGAGTCTTCAAAACACCGCGTTCTTTTTCAGTCCATTGTCCTCTGCAAGGTAAGTGGAAGGAAGAGGCGTGTTACACTGTTTGGAGACCAGGTTGGAATTGGACACACATAAACTGTCAGGAAAGTTTGTCCTTCCTCAGCCTTCACTACTGTAGGTTATGTTTGCACCTGGACAGCTCAAGCTTACCCTCAGTTGGTCAGCTGAAGATCAGGAAGCCTGGCATTAGTTATTTCAAGATACAGTGGTCATGAGAAATGGCGTGTGTTTTCTTGTAAAAGTAACAATGTATTGATTCCATATTCCCCTCATTCCTCCTCTTGCACTGTGCTTATCTACATATGTGCACATCTTTCCAAGTTCAAGAACAAAGCTGAAGCAGAGCTGAACGGAATGCTTCCTGGCACTGCGTGCTAATATGCTTCTGATGCACAAATGCAAAACGAAACAGAAATATGCCAAATATTGGAGCATTGTTGTGATGCTGTCGTGTGAATTAAAATAGATTAAGTCAAGAATTTATATAAGTAAGGAGACTTCTGTTTCTAAACATCACTACACCTATTAGGCCAAGTATTCTATTTTGGATTAAACGCAAGGCAAAGGCTGTAAGGAAAATGTGAAGGCAGAAGATCTGTGAGCGCAATGTTTATGACAGGCTTGTGGTCCAGCGCAAAGTTCTGTTGTCACTTAGCAGCTCTTCCACATAGTTTTCATTCCAGATCTGTGTAGACAGGATCTATAGAGCATGAGAAAGAATCCGCAAACTCGGTATATCAAAATAATAAGTATTTCCCAGCAACATTTACAGTATGAACACTGAAGGTTCCCTTGGCTATTGTCTGTTTCAATCCTACCAAAGTTATTCTTCGTGTTCCGTCCATGTTGCAGATGTGCATTTTTGTCTCGGCACAATGCTGGAAAGGACTCAGCAATTGAAATCATAGAAGAAGATATTTTCATGTTTTGTTAAATATGACACAGCAAATTTCATTTGTTGTTGAAAACTCAGCTTTTGTCATTCTTGCAAAATGATTTCCCAGAAATAAACTGGTGGTAAGCGTAATCTACAGTCTTGACGTTGGTGTGCTGCGCCTCTCAGACCATAGGAGATCTTGGCCCCATGAGATCTATTTCATGTGAGAAATAAAGCTGCTTAGCAAAGCGTGTAAATTTCTGTCGGCAAGAGGATGAATTTTTTTCCTGAAAATGAAGTGACACAGGATGATTAAATTTGGATTCTTTATATATTTTTGTTACTTATTGTACTGATGAAGTCCTTCAAAACATAGGCTCATTGTCTCTCCTAGTTTGCTATACTCTACCAGACAAACAATCTGTTTATTGTTTACTGTTTATTGCAATTGTTTATTGGGGATTCTATTGTATCAACCAGGGATGGTACTATTATACGGCAGACAGAAGTTATTCTGGGTTAACAGCCGTATTAACAAGCATTGTAGGAATTTCTCTTTGCAGGTTAGTGACTGAAAATAATCAGTCGAGTTGCAGGGAGGGATTTTTGCTTGTTTGTTTCCAAGCCATTCAGCTTTTTAAACTATGCCTCAGCTTTGTCAGCTTCACTGCAAAACAAGGTTTGGATTTGGGAAAACAGATTTCAGAAATGGGATGTTGTGACATGCTGTTGTAGACTATCATTTTACCAGGTTGGTTTCCTCTGCTGTCTCTCTCTCTGCTGTGACCTACTCAGGAAATCCTCTTCTTTTGGCATATACATTAGCTGTTTATTTTATCCACCTGTCAGACAGCATGCAGTGTCACATAAAACTGATGCTATTCCACTCTGAAAAAAAAAACTGGTTTAAAGTAAAAAAGCCCAAGACCTGTGCCTGGTAGTCTGCCTACAGAGCAACAGTTAGAGGTCAGCTTTAGAAATGCATTTCTTACACAGTGTAATGCCAGTCCTCAGAGAGAAGGTTGGAAAAGTTTTCATTGGCAGGAACCTGAGGAGTAAATAAGAGGAAATAAAAGTTGCAAGAGGAAACATTCAGATCAGAAGAGTAAGTAAAACTGTCTTGCTTGAAATTACCTAATACAGCAAACCACAGCCTCAGGGAGGTTAAATCTGCATGGCACCTGCCTGTGGTCAGACCTGTGAGCTGGTAAAGTGCATGCTAGGTATTCAGCCACTAGTGTGAAAACGCACTGAGTGAAATGCAGCTCGTTTATTTACTAGCAGAAAATGGGCAGCATTTTAGTCTGCAAGTAAGAAGTAAACTTGGAAGAATTTCTCAAGTGAAAAAAAACATAACATTAACCCAGTTTCCAAGGATTCTCTTTCAGTTGATGAAGAAAGCCTTCCTCTCTTCCTAACCTCTGGTGCACTGGCTTTACCTCCATGTGAGGGTCACATTCTGATTTGTAATGTATTAGGAGAAAGGCTGATCAGCTGTTCCTAACACTGCAGATCCTCTTACTTTGAGGAGGAGTCATGTTATTCAAGTTAATGATTAATTTATCTCGAAGTGACCGTGTAGAGCCTCCAGAGAGAGAAGTAATGTTGATTTCAAATGTGAGTTTACTACTGAAAACCCATGATTATAACTCTGTTAGTCCTCACCTCAGTGGAGAATAGTATTAGAAACATCTTCACTTAGTTTTACATCAACAAAAAAGAGCAGCATAAAATAAAACAGGTCTTAGATCACAGACTTGTCTTTGTTACTCTCTGTACTGCAGTAAGAGCTAGATATCAATGGAATTACTTGATCGTGCGGTCGTTGGTACATCAGGAATAACAAATCGGAGCAAGTCAGTAAATTCTGATTTTTTTTCATGTGTGCACCATTTCTGTGCCCTTGAAAATGTTAGTCATGTTTGTATAACAACGTATTTTCAAACCAATAAATGGTATAACAGTTGTAATACATAAATATCCTCCCTAATGATAGAAAATACATGCGTATAACAGACAAAACTATGGTTTTGGATACATCACAGTTCATCATGATTCTGCTTAGTGTATTAGAAGTAAATTCTTCACCTGTGGTGTTTTTATTTTGTAAACAATGTGACTGAAGCTCAGCTCTTGGTTGCTTGATTGTAAATTAGGAATAACTCTGAAAACACTGGATATGGTGGTGTACCATCTGGAGAGCGTGCATTCAGTTTCTCTTTGAATTCTTCATTGTTCTTCTTTCTGAATGGATATATGTTGATTGTGTGCCTGGGTAATAGAAAATGCTGCTTTATCACGTAATAGATTACCTTGTTTCTCTTTCCTTATGCATCTTTTTTTATCCTTCTCTGTTGCTTTTTGGCATCTTTTAAAATTTGCACGTTAATGGAAATTCTACAGAGGCAGAGTAAAATAAATCTCTTGGGGATCTGAGGGGTTTTTTTCCCTGTTACTTTTTAGCTGCAATGGAAACATCCACTGTTACGGAAAAGATGTCGTTTAAAATGTAAGCTGTTTACACAGCTGTTGGTTATAGAGATAAAGATTTCAGGCAGTATATACTGCGAAGGGCTAAATGTGCCGGGATGTATTTTGATGAGGGCTGCTTCCGCGTACCTATGGTACCAGTCGTTGTGTACTGGTGTGCTCAAGTAGGGTAGTGTTTGCGGAGGAGGAGAGGCAGATTCCACAGGATCACTGAAACTCTGAGGCAAACTTAAGGGCTATTTTGTAATCCTGCTTCTGTAGTGGCCTCATCAAACATGGAAAGGAGAAGACAGATTCTGCTATGCCAATAGGTGTGTCAGCACTTCAGGTATATGGAGAGCAGACACGTGAGTCTTCCATAGTGTTGCAACTGCTGAGTGAGCTCGCTCTTTCAAAGAACTTTCTGCTGATTTACTTAAAAGGGATTAATGTTAATTTTATGTCTTAAAATGTACCGCATGTATGTCTTAAAATATAAAACAGCTTTTGCAGTAGGGTGTCAAGGGTGTCTCCAGCCTTCCTCAGAAAGTTGTTTGGCATAAATCATTCATTTCATTTTTACACTGCTTTTATTATATAAAAATATAACACCAGGACCAACAGCATAGTCTGGAAAAATTGGTGTTGTTTCCTGTCTCGAGTCATAGTTTTACCTGTCAGAGAGACTCAGAACTTCAGACATTTATCCATACCTCCTCTTTTAACATTCTCCTGTTTCTCTTATTTCTCTCCCTTATTTCTTTAAGCTTTGCCTTGTTTTCCTTTGTATATGAACATCATCCCGTATCATTTTCCCTCGTCTTGGTGGAGCACCTTAAAAATGTAGTTTGCTTTGCTGGATTCAACATTTTAATCTGATGGCCACACTTGCCTTTTTTCCTTCATGAAAGGGAAGAGAGGAAAGCAGTTTTTAAAAGATCTCTATTTGGAAATATAGTAGCGGACTGATTCACTAAAGAGAAAAGAACCAGCCCCGTAGCTGCAAGTTAATTCACTTTGATTATGTCTTTCTCAGCACAGTTTATAGCATTGTTGCTGAAGTACTGGAACATAAGTGAATCACGGAGACTGAGAAAAATAGACTTGCTGTGGCTGCCTAATGTTTGGGTACAAGAGAAAATATAATCTGGATTTGCCG